ATACATTTTTTATTAATATTGTTGAATTTTGTACGGGCCTGAAGGAAGTAAAACCTGGTGGAATGGAGGTGTGAATGGGAACAGTTGATCAAGATCCTTTATTCTTTCGTACAGGCCTCATGCAGATCCTCAAATAATTCGATTTGGTGCACATCTAGTGCTTGTGCTAAGACATTTACTTGCTGAGGAAATGGAAATGAAGGATGCCTTTAGAGACAAAATTCTAAGTGTTGGTGATCTTATTCTGAACATGTAAGCTCCCCCCCCCCCTTTGGTGTCAATTACTAACGTTGTTGTCTTAGCATAAGGCTTAGAGTGAATGTGATCAATATAATTTTTTCTTATGATACGAGGACTGAAAAAACTTGTTCAAAATGTGATCAGCGACTTTTATTTTAGTCTTTCATCATAATCTTTCCTTGCTGATCAGTCAAACTTGTGATATTTGAACATTGCATACCCATTCCCTGATTAAAAAAGGATTATCTGAAATTAGGGCCAATTTGATTATCTATTCCAGCGATGATTTTGAAAAGGTATAGCTGTTTCGATGTCTTTTCGATGTCTTTTGTTGTAATTTTATAATGTTTTGGTTGTATTGGTAATGCAAGGTCCAAGCCGTTCTCAGCTTGAGGGGGGTGTTGGAAATCACGTTTAACATGTGATATATTTAGACTTTGATGTCTTTATTTATTTCTTCACTTTTATGTTTTGATGCCTTCATTAATTTCCTATGATTGCTAGTTAACGGATCATGATTCTTGGACATCTAGTTGTCAGTTTCTTCATTAGAACCTTGTGAGTTTTGCTGGTTTGGAGGTTGAAATCTGATGTTACTTTTTCCTTAGATAACTACCAGCGTGATGAGTCTTTGTAAAGTCTTGTGTTTTAATTTATAACGCATTTTGCAGAATTTGTAGAGCAATTAATATTTTTTTTTACTTAAAATACCCCTTAGGATACAAATAGTTAATGATTCGGAGTAAACATTAAGAAGGTCAAATGCAAGTAAAAAAGGGCAGATTTTTGGAGGCAATTTGAGACAGCAACTAATAAACAGATTTCCATGGTGGGCCTTATTTGGTTAAAGTTGCATGGTTTGAACTTTGTTTGGCTCCAGTGTCTATCTATTATCTAAAATGTGAAAATTTATCATGCTGGTTTTTTAATAATCAATGAAGATGGCCTATCTTTCTTTAGAGGATTGCCTAAGTTTTCCGTCTCACTGTATGACTTCCTAGTCTTTAGTGAGATGATTTGTACTTTGTAGCATATGATGGAAACTGAATAATTCTCTGGTGAATGAAGATTTGCTTCACTACATTATAGTTGACTCATTAAATTTCAGGTATGCTATGTTTCTGTTTTCAAAGCAACATGAGGAGTTAGTTGGCATATATGCTTCTCAGCTTGCACGTCACCGATGTATTGATCTTTTTGTACATATGATGGAACTAAGACTGAACAGCAGGTCTCCTGAATTCTCCCTTTACATTTATTTTTCTTGTTTGTATTTTGCAATAATCCTGTTGTTGCATGGAAGGACAGCATGCATCCAGCATTTTATACTTGTACTATGTTTATAGCACCAATACTTCCTAAATTTTAGTATAATATATAACACCTGTGGTGCTTTCCTTTGCAGTGTACATGTCAAATACAAGATATTCCTTTCTGCTATGGAGTATTTACCATTTTCTACTGCGGATGATTCTAAGGGTAGTTTTGAGGATATTATTGAGAGGTATTTACGTCTTGTGTTTTATTCAGAATTAATTCAAGATAAATGATCTGTAAACTATTTATATTCAAATTCATTTTTTTTAATAGCTTCATTATAATTTCTTTGAAACAGAATTTTGTTGAGATCCCGAGAGATCAAAGTTGGAAAATATGACGAGTTATCAGGTGTGGCTGAACAGCACAGGTTGCAGAGTCTTCAAAAGGCTAAGGTCATCCAGTGGCTTTGCTTTACACCACCATCAACAATCACTAATGTTAAAGAAGTTAGTGACAAGCTTCTTCTCCGAGCATTGGTACATAGGTATGTGGTGCATTTCATTGCTTCCCTATCTTCCTGTATTTTCTTTTAAACAGTTTGCTAATGATGAAATTTTGAGGGCTATCGACTTCCACTCCCTCCCCCCCCCCCCCCCAAAAAAAAAAATACCCTTATTATTGTATAAATATTTCTCACTCCTTCTCGGTAGAAATAATGCATAGTCATATTCTGTCTGTCTTTTTCTTATACATGATATTTTTAGTTCCTAGGTTCTTACAACTTGATCTGACCAGTCTTCTTGGGAACTGTTCGTGCAGAGTCTTTATGCCTTTGCATTTATGCTATTGCTGATTTGTTCCTTTGTCATCTTTGATTTTTAATTTTCTTTCCTGTAATTTCTTTTTCCTTGTAGCAATATACTCTTTAGGGAGTTTGCACTGATTTCTATGTGGAGAGTTCCGGCAATGCCCATAGGTGCCCACACAGTACTTAGTTTTCTTGCTGAACCCTTGAAACAGCATTCAGAAACTCTCGATGAGGATTATAATGTTTCTGACGATCTAAGAGAGTTCCAAGACTGGGTATGATTGAATTACTCTTATTTTGGTTGTTTAAGCGTAATCACATTATTCTAGGTGGACAGCTGCATAACATATGTATATTATGCATTTAATTAGAGTGAGTATTACTCCTGCGATGCAACCTATCGCAATTGGCTCAAAAATGAATTGGAGAACGCGGAAATTCCTGTACATGAACTCTCACTGGAGGAAAAGCAAAGGACCATATCAACTGCTAAGGAAACATTGAATGCATCTCTTTCACTGCTAGAAAGTGAGTTTGTTTGACCATCTCGTTATGGAAAGACCATTCTCTGAGGAACATGTCAGAATATTATAATATTTAGTCATGAATTCCTTTTCCTGCACTTTTGAGTTTTGTTAGGACGTTGACATTTTATTTATGGGTACACAAGTAATTCACCTTGTCTATGCAGGAAAAGAAACACCTTGGTTGGTATCTATTTCTGATCATATCTATGAGTCAGCTGAACCTGTTTATCTTCAACTTCATGCCACTGCAATGCTCTGCCTGCCATCTGGAGAATGTTTGTGTCCAGATGCCACTGTCTGTACCACGTTAATGAGTGCCCTCTATTCTTCAGCAGGTCAGGAGGTTGTCTTAAGCCGCCAATTAATGGTATGTTCATTCTTGATTGGATAATTATTTCGCTAATAAGCACATGTATCACTTATATCCATTAATGTTTGGGGCTTAACTATACCTAGTACATGTGGTTTCACAAGTATATATGTCAGCCTTTGGTTAGAAGCCTGAACCTGTCCCTTTTGAGTTACCAATCAAGGTGTTAAGATAAACTCAATATTTGTCAACAATTCCAAACAAATAATCAAAAAAAGGAAGTTGCTGCCCTATGTTTGGGTCCAATTGTAAAGTATGGGAGTCCAGTCCCACGTTGCAAGCATGGGATTCTAAGAGATTGGAGGCTATATTATTTTGATGATTCTTGTGTCTACTGTTTAACTAAGATCTACGAGTCTCATGATGGTTGCATTTCAAGCTATACAGCCCTCAATCTTGTAAATTTATTTCAAACAAGCCTCGCTTTAAATAGGCTTACCAAAGCATTCTCTCTTGTAATTTTTACAGAGACCTGTTGTAGTCACAAATAATTTTAACTGGTCAGCATATGTACTAGTAACAATTTTGTGATGCATACAGTCTTTTCACGTTTTTGTGTTCTGGTTTGCCTGCACATGTTTCGTAGGTGAACGTCTCTATATCATCAAGGGACAATTATTGCATTGAGGTTGTTCTTCGTTGCTTAGCAGTAGCTGGCGATGGGCTAGGGCCTCATGAACTTAATGATGGTGGTCTTCTTGGCGCCACTATAGCTGCTGGCTTCAAAGGTACGGTTGATGTACAGTTGAACTATTTGGTAGACAAGAGGTGTTCATTTTTGAGCTGGAGTTACTATGCGAGATCTGTATGGCAAATGAGTAGAATAATTACTAAATGAAGTGATTTTTCTGTTGCAGGTGAGCTTCCTCGCTTTCAAGCTGGAGTTACGATGGAGATATCTCGATTGGATGCTTGGTATTCTGACAAAGATGGCTCTTTGGAATGCCCAGCAACTTATATTGTGAAGGGCCTTTGTCGGAGGTGCTGTATTCCCGAAGTCACTCTTCGTTGCTTGCAAGTAAGTCCAAGTGTGGCGTTGACCTCTATTAATCCCTCAACTACGGTTTGCATTTTGACCACTCCATGTGTGGCATTGACCTCTAACCTCCCTGTCGCCAATGCTTACCGTCCTCTTCACGTTTTCAGGTTTGTGTTTCTCTTGCGGGAGCAGGAGTCCTGCCAGATTGCCATGACAAGCTGATTGAACTTGTTGGCAGTTCAGAAACTGGTTTCCTCCGGTTGTTCAGTCAGCAACAGTTGCAGGTAAGCCAATTGATTGCTTGTCGAGTGCAAACGAGTATCTGTTATCATTTGTTTTACACCTTTCTCGTTCATCTGCAAGTAAATTTCTGTTGTCATTTATTTTGCTCCTTTCTCGTTCGTCCACAAATAAATTCTCATTACGAGGTTTTACTAGCTTGCTTTATATTCATCTTATACTTGGCTTCACTATGGTGTGAAAGCATGTTAAATCTACACAAAATTTCACCACCAATTGATAACATGCAATTTCTACCTTTCACGCAGGAGTTCTTATTGTTTGAGAGGGAATACTCGATCCACAAAATGGAACTCGAACAGGAGTGATTTTTGCCCATTGCGCAGAACTGAAATCCCGTGCCTCTTCTACACTAAAATTTAGGAAGGGGGGAGGCGCTCCTGATTTTATCTATGCAGTTCTTTATTCTGTTACCCCTCCCTCATTCATTTTTATATAATTCTATCACCCTTTGTACATAATGTTGTCTTGTACAATTTTGATCGAATTTTAATGCCTGCGGCTTCCCCATAATGCTTCATTAATGGATATAGATTATCAATAACATGTACACTTAAAAATACATAGGATATCCGGCCTTCATATATGAAGATTACAATCAGACAGAAGCCACGTGAATTTCAAGTCTAAAACTGGTTACTTATGAATTCTGTGCTTGAAAATTTGCAAGCCACTAGTTTTCTACGTTCATTGAACCTACAAGTCGAGCCTAATTCAGCAAATGAGGATATTGCACGTTGACTTGCAAACGCTGAGGTCGAGAAATTAATTTGGGTAGTTCCGCCCACACTGAGTTGTTCTTGTAACAGGATCATCTTTTTCTACATCGAAACTGACACGAAGCGTGGAAATCACAAATCGCATATAGGGTTTCCAACCCTGGGAAATCATGGGCCAAAAACTAAATGTCGTGTGCTATCTGTGCTGGATCACCAGAGCTTAGTTTTGACCCAGAAAAGTACGAACACAACTCCAAAAACGATAGCGACAGGGGCCCACTTTCGGATCAGAGCCTACAAGTAAGATTTAGAATTCAATTTTGGATTCACAATAATAATCAAAATAAAACTTCTTTTTATGGATATTATAAAATCACTTTTAAAAAACTAACTTAAATACCCCACACTAACAGAAGCATAGCAATATTTATTTATGTAGATAAAAAAGGAAATAATAAGTGTAAAACTGATAAACCTGCACAACTTATTAGTACAAGTATTCTTTAGAAAAAATGACGAAAAATACTCGTTAAATTGAAAAAAAACAAAAAACAAATAGGTTATAATGACTATTATTGTGACGTTTCGTTTTGACGGGTATTTTTTTCATCATTTTCCCTATCCTTTTATCAGCGTCTAACCACCAGGTTCATGCAAACAAAGTAAAATCATGGTATCAAACTTTAGACTGTCTTGAATCTGAGGGCGCAGCTAATCCCCAATAAAAAAGAGAATTCTATCCGACCACTAAAAGCTACAGGTTATCAAATCGCACCTTTTTTTGGGGCAAAAATCGCACAACTAAACTTAAAATAGTGGCCCCTGGCACATGTGAAAGGAAACGCCCGGGAAATATTTTAAAAGAAAAGAACACATTTGTAAATTTACAAGGTTAAACTTTTTTCTTTTTTCTTCCTTTTTTTTGGGGGGGGGGGGGGAGCTCACCTACCTAGATTGCTTAAAAGAGTCATAACCAAAGAGGAAAGGGTCATCAGATGGGGAAAATGATATTTCGGTAATGACCACAACATTAAAAAGATGTGTAATTTATCCTAGTTTCGAGAGAAACTTTGTAAAAACGTATTTGCAATCACGGCAACATATTTCAAAGACATCCGAAATCATACCTCAAAAATGCATCACCCATGCCAAACGAACAAGGACTAGATTGCTAAAATAATGAATCGTCAGATATCATGTGCATGGCACAGTGAACGGAGAAGGACGAACCTGTCTATTTAAATCTTTAGCCTTGTCAGCATATATGCGAGATTCTGATGTTAGGCGACTGGACATTTGGCTGACCTCTGCAGGTTTGAAATTAAAAGAAAAAAAAATCAATAATACAGCCTTCAGTTGAATATTATAATAATCCCTAAAATGTAATACCGAATACGAACTTCTGACTTGTGAACGTGGCAGCAAATTGCAAACAAGTCAAGAAAAAAAATCCAATACTAACATCATAAATGATCATCCCTCTAATTATTAAAACCTGGGTTGGTCTTAATAAGAACAACCAACCAAAGCAAACAAATACATGCCAATCACTAATATCCAAAAATAAAGTTTAGCAATAAATCACAAAGACCAAATCTTGACTTCAAAATGCATGCTCAATTTTTAAGTTTGATGTCAGATATATTTGAAAGAGTTCATAGGAAAAACCCAGCTACAGTCAAACGATACATGTCAATGGACTTAATTTTCATATTCTATAGGAATTTATGAGGTTTAACAAACTAAAAACTTGGATGTTGCAGTCGAAGGATCCAAGCAATCAATAGAAAATATGCAATAACCAAAAGAAAATAAAAAGAATATCTTACGGTCCAACTGTTCACCAACACCAAGAACTTCCTGCACATTTCGAGTCATTATCTGATGGACTTCATAGAGTTCATCATTCAACTTTGCAATATTGCGCTGAGTATGGGTATCCTGGTACAGCTTCTTTGTTTTCTGTATAAATGTATCTTTTTAACATTTAAAAAATAAAAAAAAATTAAGCATCAGAGGGGGAAAAAAAACTACTATGAGCAGAATATGATAGAATCTAATGCACAAGTCAAAGTAAAAGATTTATACTTACCAAACTTAATAAAGGCGTAAGGTCTGGCGGCTGTTTCAATTTGAGACCCATTAACTCGCTCAAACTCATTGCTGAGCTCTTCAAGATATTGGAAAGCCAGTTTCTTAGGGTAAGCACGGTCACACATTGTCAAATAACAGACACGTCCTTCAACAAGATAACTAATAATCTGTCAAGGCCAATCCAGGTTATGAAAACTGATCCAAATCATGTTAATGCTAAATATAATAATAAAAAAAAATTATAGGAAGTCATGAAGCAAATTTCTTCGCGGTAAGGTCGTGGAGTGTCATGATAGTATCCCATTTTGCATAAGCACACCACAAGTAAAAGCAGCAAATAAATAGTAGGGAACAGGAAAGTGTTAGCTTAACAAAAAGAAGAGAAGATAGGAAAGATATTGCCAGTGGATAGGACATAAGGCAACATGGAGAACAGAAAAACTGTCAATATTTCAAACAAAAACTCTGAGAACCAAAGATTCTCACAGTTCATATTGCTTGTCATTGTCTCCAAGGTTACTGCCACTGAAACAATTCGGCCATCATACTCACCTATATGCACTTCAGAATATAATAGCTTAACACATATGAACATAAGAATATTGAGGAATTCAGATGAACACAAGGATACTGGAAAATATATGGGCCTGTTTCGACTGACATCCTGGATGGTTCATTCTGTCTTCGGGAGAGATTTTTAAACAAAGCCTTAACCTGCTGTTTGTAAAATTCAGCATCTTTGATATCACGACTGTCATCTAGTCCCTCCACTAGAGGAAGACCATCAATTACACGAGCAATCATAGTCAATTTCACCATCCTTCACAGTTATTAACGTCCGTTTGCAATTGCAGACTTATCAACTGAAGCAAACCTACCTGTAGTAGCAAACCAAAAACCGTGGCAAACAAAGCTTAGTCGAAATCAGGACCTTGAGAAAAATTAGATGCATATAAACTAACTGTTCTTACGTACTAGTACCGTAGAAGCTCATTCTTTTGCAATTATCTCAACAAAATGCAATTTTTTAGCAGTTTGATCAATCAAAACCGGGGCCTTGAGAAAAATTAGAAGCATGATGAGAAGTAACATTTCTTACGTACTTGTGCCAAAGAACCTTCATGCAAGACTTTTTCTAGCAATTTTCTCAATCATGATCCAAGTTTTTTAGCAGTTTGATCAGTCACTATTGGCAATCAAATAGGACCAGGTTCAAATGTACTAATCAAAATTCAATCTTCAAAACCAGAATTTCAATTTCAGTTAACCCTGTAATTAGTAAGATTGAGAGGGAACAAGAGAACCACGAACAACTCTCGAAGGTACCTATGATACAGAAACAGTTTTGCCCATTGTGATTTTAAAAATGCTTAGGCCATAGTAGCCTCTTCCTTTCGTAGAACTCCAGAAAAAATAAAACCAGCCGGATCCTCTATTGGGCTAAAAAACGATTGAATTGATAACATTAGAATAAAACACAACCTTCTTGTTTTGTTTATAATGAAATAATTCTAAATAACAAGTGTTTACATGATGATAGCAAACTGCAATTCGAACTCGCATCGACCTAAGCATGCCTATTTCACCAAGATCCCTTTCGCCATAGAGCATAAACTTTTAAAGTATGTCCAGCAAATCTATAATCTAAAATATTTTGAAACAACCCAACTATTTTCCGAAACTCAGGAACTAATGCAACGAACTCGGTCCTTGGTCACCATCCATGCCCACTAACAAAATAAGACACACGTCAGAAATCACGCAGGCATGAATCGTATGATACAGCTAACATCGCCAATATCTCGTTACGACATTATCGTTAACTTATTTGATGTAAAAGATCTGAAAGATTGGGATTAAAGTGTTAAGGTTATGAAAGAATGGGAAGTCAGAATCAAGAGGGCTGTGAAACCAAGGAAGAACCCACATTACTCAGATCTTGTCCATCTAAGTCATCGAAGTTAGCTGTAAGGACTACGTGGAGAGAGGTTGGGCTCATAATCTTTTGGCTTTTAATGCATGGCCGAATTCTCACACGAAGTATTCGTTATGTCTCGAATACAATAAAGAATCCCCGATTTCATCACTTTCAGGCGTTTTCCTGAACAACGAAACTGAAATATTGAAGGTTTACTGGAACTGAAAGCAGAGAGGGAGATGCCATGATTATAACATCGGAGGCAATTGATAGGAAGGGCCAATCAGATGAAGGGCGACACGAGAAGTTCTAAGGAGAGAAAGAGGCTAACCGGAACAGATAAGTAGAATGACAATAAAATGATGGCGGCCGGAGCTGCCGTAGCTATAGCGGGTGTCGGATTCGCTCAACTGGTGCAGCCGGTGCCGATCGAATTAATTGACAAACAAGAAACCGCGGGACGGAGGGAGGCAGGTAGGGAGAGGGAGTATACCAGTCAAGCAAAGATCTCCCGGACTGGGAGATGGCGAACAGTATGACAAAACTGCCACCGAATTTTTGAAGAAAATATATGAATATTGAATTATTAATTGTCCAATATTTCCTAAATTTTGAAAATGGTATGAGAGAACACCCCTACTTTCTAGACATAAAAACATATAATGTTGAATTTAGGGACATTGGGCAATTAAACGGCCATTTAATTTATAAACAACTTTTCCTTTTATTTTTTAATTTAAATCCCAAGCATAACATTTTTTGGGTATTTAGATGAAGATAAGCTATTTTCTTCTAAATATGTGTTCCTTAATTGTCTTCTGAAAATCAATAAAACAACATTACCATAATACTCCTCCGGTTTTAAATATAAAACCCTTATATACACTAGTATAATAGTAATATAAAACCCTTGTACACACTAGTATAATGGTCTTATATTTAGGACTAGAAGAGTAACATGTTGATACCGGACGTGTTATATCTTTGGCATCTATCAATTAAATTTCACATCATGTTAACCAATCTTCTATTAATTTTCTTAAATTGTGCCTTTTTTAATAAAAAGCATAAAACGAAAAAGAAAGTAGATGAAAAAAAAAAATGAATGTATTATTCTGCCTGATTGCGCAGCCCTCGGCATTATAAAGGAATACCATCCATATTATAACAGATATAAAAGGTCAGTTTTTGCATGCTGTTCTTTATTTGAACTTCAACTCGAAAGTAGAAATGCCTTGTTATTCTTCTGCATAAATGGCATTATAAATCAGTATATTACATTGCATTTTCAAGAGGAGCTATTTTGATGCACTTCCATTAGCAATCTTATAATTTAAGTATGAAACAGAATAATTTAGAGTTCTTAAATAGTAGTTCTAGAATCAAGCTCGGTTCTCCAATGCTGATGCAGCAGAGTCAACATGAACAAGCAAGCAAGAATAAACTTTCTGCTTCAATCTTTCAATAGTTTCTGCAAGCCCTTCACTCTCTGGGCTAAAATTGATTCTTAGTTTGTCCAACCATTCATTTGCGCGCTTAAGATGAGACAATGTGAGAGCAATATGATTAGCTTCTTCTACATGTCTCCCTGCAATTTCCTTACTGTCCTTTCCCTTTTTCTCTTGGGAACCCATGGAAAACCCAGAATCCAACGTCTTCTCCAGGAATTTCAAAAACCATGATCTTGTTTCATTTGAGAGGATTTCTCTAATATCTTTTACTTCTTTGAGACCATCCCCTTTGGCCCATTCGAGTTTATCTGTCTCGTTTAGTTTGCTTGCTGCTTGTTTCAGAGACTTCGATGATGTCCCAGCCAGGAAGCCTGTCTTTTTACCAGGTTTGCCTGGTTCTGCAGAGGATAGATTTTTGCACGATTGAAGTGATTTATCTTTTAATGGAGATGTAAGGTTTGGTTGGTCCATGAGTTGTTGCAGAGAAAAGAACTTGTTCATTGTGAGATGAGGATTCTCTGATGCTGCAGAAGAGCAGAGATTGGCGAACATACTGAAAAGAGAGAGACTAAGGAAATAAGTGAAGACAAAATCAATAGTGAATTTACTTCTTTCTTTTCCGAAGCATTTTTTTGTTGTTGCTGATTCTATAAAACTATGAGCCCGTTTGGAATAGCTTATAAGTTGTTTTTCAATAGTAATTTACAGAATACGAGGCAAGTATGTGAGAGAAGTTTTGTCTACGTGAAACGTGCTTATAGGGGACTTTTACCGCTCTGCCAAACGGACCTATATCATGTTTCAGAAGTTAGTCAGGAAAAATTTTTATTACCTGAGGCACTTGACAAGGTTTGCTGCTGAAGATGCTTCTTTTTGAGCCTCTACCGCAACCTGAGAGGCCAAGTGTTTCCTCTTAAGCATTTCCTTGAAGAATGACAATAAGGTAAGCAAGGGGAAATAAGTTTATATAATTATTAAGGAAAACAAACCATGTCAGTATGCAAATGGTGCAGAAATTTTGAATAGCAAGTTTTACAAAACAGAACAGAAAGAAAATGCCAACAAGGTGACAGTATACATGACACCAACATCCGTTTTCTCAAATTGAGTCTGATATCTTGTGCTTGTTAGATGTTTGGTGTCAAGTTCTTTAAATAAAATTGTAATACTTAATATGTTCAACATATCAAAATCTCATGCAGATCTGTTAAACATGGTATAATGTAAAGTACCTTTCCAGGCTTCAAAAGGTTGGGAGGCAAATAGGACCATGAAATTGTCTCCGTCATGTAGCTTTTATCTTTACTGCGAGACAAAAGGTTATGGTTCAAATTTTCCTGTTTGTAAGAACTGCGTTTTGTAGAAGCTGTGCTCTTAGAAGGTGTCAAATCAATCTCCTGAATGCTAGGTTTAGCGACCTCTTGCTTTGGAGAAGTTGCTTCGAGTCTATTATGAGTTGGAGTCACTGAGATTACCTGTGATGCTAAAACCAATCATTGTCAGTATCAAACTTGGATTACTTTCTAGACCTCAAACTCAATCAATAGGCTCCAAAATACTACTATATAATATTGTGGCTTGAAAGTTGAAAACTTGAAATTTAAGCCAATATTCATACCTGATCTTTAACCTCTTGCTTTGCTTTTGTGGATCCGACCTTCTTAGTGCTAGCTCCACCACCGTTCTCTAAATCATTTCCTCTGCTCCCTCCATTGTTATCTGCTCCATTAACCTTTGAATTTGATGTTAAAACACCTTGCATGTACCTGGATGCAACAGCAGCCTTCTCTTCTTTAATAACAATCTTCTGTCTTGGACTTGGATTCTCTTTGGCTTCCATTAAATCCATTGATTTTGAAGGATAATTAACTCCTTCACCTTCAGATTGTAGAGGACCCTCTGTTTGATCCAACATCTGCATCAAATCCTTAGGGTTTCCTTCAAAAGGGTGTCTTCCAGGAATAGGCCTAACCCCAACAAGAACAGGGACTGGTGTCCCACTCTCCATTTTGTCCACATAGAAGTACTGCCCAAGTTGCAACTTGTTGTTCAAGATAAGCTCATTGTCTTGCTTTGAGAGTGAGACATAGGTTGAATGAGAAGAGTCTGAAACTTTAATGAAGAAACCTTGGTTAGGCCATAGCTCAGACCCAGTTAGTGCAGGTACAATGCTTATCACCTGCAGAAGAACCGATCTGTATTCGCCTCTAACTTTTACATCAGAGTTCCTACTTTGAAGAAGCTTCAGTAACACTCCAGGGGTGAGAGATGCCATTTTTCTTCTTCCCCTTCAAAATTTTTTGATGTATATTATATATCCTTCGGGGTGTTACCAATGGCAAAAAGCTACATATCCTTTGAGAGTTGGATAGGAATCATAGAGGAATAGATCTACAAACACTTTGGCCGAGACAGTTCGACCCTAAGCAGACAGATTGCGGGGACATGAAACTGAACCAGAGATATCTTCTGGTAAAGAATAAAAAAATGGGACAGAAAGAACTGGGTAACCAGATTATTACACAGAATCTATAGATCAAAAAAAGAATATAAGTTACCTGAGAATGGGATGTGATAGATTCTGAGCAGAAATGACACCCGCTTGAAAGTTTCCAGATAGAATGAATCTGATTGCTTCAGCAGTGGCTTATCCAAGAACATGTTCTAAAGGTTTTGCATGCGGAGCACGTAATCATCAAATCTCTTGGCTTGAAAGCCAAGGGACAATAATGGCTTACAGGCGTGAGAAATGGGAAGCACTTTGTGGGAGACACGAAATGAAAAACCAGAGCCTTCTATCAGAAAAAGTTAAGCCAAACGTCACCAGTAATTCAATGATTATTACTAATATAGTCTTTTATATTAACTGTGGGGTTCCAATTTGGTCAGGTTTCGTTATAAGTTAGAGGCAATGTAACCATTAAGAAAGGTTAAGGGTATTATAGTGTCCACATCTTAGAGAGACGTGATTATAAGGCCATTCCATCTTGACCTTGATTTTCTTTCACAAGTAAATGAAATGAACGTGAAATGAACCAAGACTGAGCAGAATTTAACTTAAAAAGGCACAATCATTTTGCTTCAACTTTAAAAGTCTTACCACACAGAATTACCAAAGAAGAATTTTCACTAGTTTTTAAGAGTACAAGTTGACATCGTCAAGTAGGCACTATCACCCCCTTAATTAATTGCCTAACCAACAATTTGATTTATTTCGGACCTTTGTCCTTTTCTTTTGTGTTTTTTAATGTGGATGAGTATTGGGTTGGTAATATATTACATCATCATTTAATAATATGTCATAATGCTAAAAGAGTTTTGTTGTTAAATTTTTATGTTATTAATCGTGGGTTGATCAGAGTGTTTTTAGTTGTCACAATAAATTGAAATTTTCACAAACATCTTATGCATTGATATTTTAGGCCATAATACCTTATTTAATATACTAAAATAATATAAAATAGTAGTGACTTATCATGAGGCTCAAATTTAAATATGGCTGGACACATTTCATCCTACGTCGTACGGATTGAACTATTTGTTATTTATGAATAGTTTTATTCTTTAATAATAGTCAAATAATTTACTTTTCATAGAAATAATTCATTTTTAGATGAAATCTAAAACATCCATTTTTTTAAGAAACACATAAGATTGAGGATTAAAATCCTGCTACCTATGTATTTATTAATAAGCAATTTATTCGTACTTCTGTAAACATTATACACCTCGATTTTAATAAGCTTTAGATTCAGTTCGCCCAAACTTGTCTTCAAAACAAACCCATATATTTTCTTAATTACAATTCACGATAAGTTGGGATGCTTTTAAGTTTTAGTGAAACCTTGGAACTCATTCTAAACAGTTTCTGGAAAATATATATTTCTCATGCTAGCAAAATGGAATCCTTCTCATCTAATGGTAAAAAATTTAATTAGTAACAAAACTCCTTCTCGTCACCGTCCTTCGAAACAGAATATAACAACTACCAAAAGTGGGCTTTATCTATTATCCCAAGATCATTTCAAGTTTCTTAATTGTTGTTTGATCAGATGGTTTTAGGACCTGTTTGGAACAACTTATAAGTAGCTTATAAATAGTTTTTTAATAGTGCTTTACGAAATATGTGAGAGAAGTTTTGTCTCGCCTTATATGAAACATGCACTATGATCCCAAACAGGCATTTAGTTGTTACGATAAATAGAAATTTTCAAAACCATCTAGGCATTGATATTTTACACCATAATATCTTACTCTTTGCTAAAAAAATATAAAATATTAGTAACTTATCATGAGTCTCAATTTTTTTTTGGGTGCTATGAGTCCCAGATTTAAGCATAACTGCACATATTTTATCCTATGTCGTACGGATTGCAGTATTAGCTATTTATGAATATGTTATTCTTCATTAATTTTATATTTTATATTGATAATAATAGTCAAATCATTTACTTATCATAGAAATAATTTATTTTTAGATGAAATCTAAAACATCAATGTTTTAAAATAAAAAATACTAAACTTTCAAAATTAAAATAATGTTTAATTCTCTAAATTTAAGCGTAACTGTTTAAATAAGAAATAAAGATTACAAAAGAAAGTTGTGTTTTTTTCAGAACACATAATATCACCGATTTAAATCCCATTGTCAAAATATAAAAACTTTGTTAGCAAACAATTTGTAAGTATTTTTATAAAATACTATATACCCAGATTCCAAGCTTTTCTTCGAAACAAACCCATATAATTTTTTTAATTACAATTCACGATAAGTTGGCATGCTTCAAGTTTTATCTGGGAGAAACCTTGGAACTTATTCTAAACAGTGTCTGGAATATATATATATTTTTTTGGGCCTGACAGAATATATATTTCTCATACTAACAAATGGAATCCTTCTCAATTTCTCATCTATTGGTTAAAAAAAAAAAAAAAACCCTCTCGTCACCGTTCTTCCAAACAGAATATAACAACTTCTACCAAAAGTTAGCTTTATCTACTATCCAATTTCTTTTTCATCCCAAGTCACAATTCCTTCAGCCACGCTCAAAAACCTGATATGCTTTACAAGTTATAAAAGAGATGAGACTGTTCATTTCCCCTCTTTGTACACAGTAAGCTTCTTTTCAAAACCTGAGAATATCCAAATCCTCAGACACAACAATATTGCAACACGTTTCAGACTATGGGTTTGAGCACGAACGAAGCTAGCATACAAGGGACTGCTAGCTTCATCAAGCAGTAACACCTTCGATCTCTTCAAAATGGCTCTTGCCATTGCAATCACTTGTTTTTGCCCCCTGATAACTGGACCCCACTCTCACCCACCTAGTGTCAAAGAGAAGTTTAGGATTCCAAAGGGTTGGCAAGTTAAATTCTTTCTTCAAATTGTCCTATCTGAAATGTTTAGGGCCACAATTTATTATTTTATTCTCTGCACGTGTCAAACGGAATGACTTGAGTCATAATTGAAAATCAAACAGAACTATCTTTCTGTCATTACTGTACCTGAGTGTCATAGCCTAGTGGTGGGCTAGAGATAGAGCTGTGCACATCAGCAGCAATGCAAGCATTAATTGCCTCTTCCCCAGTGGAATTTCCCCTCCCCATCATCACCTTTTCAAGTATGGTTGTGGCAAAAAAAATTGGCTCCTGGCCTACCATTCCAATTTGATCTCTTCTTAGCTATTTGACTTGAAAGGTTCTCAAATCATTACCATGGAAAGTTATTACCCCTGAAAAGACATTTGAAGGCTGTTAGAAGGAGAAAGAAGAATTTCCTTGAAGTCACTTTCCTATTTCCTTATTGATGACTTTAATATTTTATTCAAATTACTTTCATCCATCAAATACAAATACAAAAGGCATATATCACAGCAAGTGACCTTTTAACATCCGCCTGCATGAATCATTTTATTTTGAGTGAAAATGAAGAATTCTTACCTTCAATGGGATCATAAAACCTCTCTATGAGAGCGAAGACAGTCCATTCGCCTGCTCCACTGGGGCCAACCAAAGCTAGGGTTCTTGCAGAAGAAACAACTAAATTAAGGGATTGAAGGATGAAAGCATCAGGATGAGATGGATATGCAAAGCTGACGTTCTTGAACTCAATTATTCCATTAAGACTGGCAAGCTTCTTTCCTTCAGAGCTGGATGGATCAATCTCAGGAATTCTCTCTATCATTCCAAATACACGACTTGCTGCAACAATGCCTAGTGCAAATTGTGCAAAATATGAAAGTGCCAGTGCCAAGCCTCTGCCAATTTCAGAAACTAGTGTCATTCTTGTGCTATTTAGAGCATAATTACAGATAAAAGAATAATCATTTCGCTATGAAACTCTGGGATAGCTATACAGAAACCGTTAAATGTGCTAATCTGATAAAGACCACCATTGCAATTTTTGGCATACCAGTAAGCTCTTAAAGGGAAACAAAATCTCGTTTCCAAATCCAAGTATAATGTACTAGCTTAGAAAGAGAGGGGCAAGAAGATAGAATACCTTCTTCCAATATTAACATCAAAGAAACAAGAAATGGCTGCACCACCATCAATCTCATTTCTGGCAACTAAGAGGGAGCCATACCAGAAAGCCATTGCCCAGGTTGAGTAGGTTATTAAATAGATTAAGTCCCATGCCTCCACCCTTGGCAAATCGTATCCTTGCCCCAGATGCCTTCGATTTTTGCAGTACTTCTCTGTATTTTGAAGCCGTTTGGGTTTCTGCAACAAAAGTAAACACTGTCCTTATCGATCTTATGGTCTGCTCTGCTATGCCTCCTGCTTTCCTATGTGAAGCCTGTGTCCCACAAAACATTAGAAGTAGCATGAACAAAAACCTAACGCACTGTACCAGGTCAAAGGTCTAAGGGCATGCATATGATTTTCCTTCTTTGATTTTGCATGAAATATCTTCTTTTTTTTTTTTTCATATTCTCCCCAGTTTTTCCTTTCTCCATGTTTTCTTCATAGTTATTATGAAAGGAGTCTGTGAAGGTATGGTTGGTTTTACTTCCTCTGTTGCCGTATGACCTCCATAAACAGCTTTGTAGGCCATGGCAGTGAAAAGAGTGAGAGGAGTGACTGAGAAAACCACCAGAGAGACGTTCCATGACCTTAGAAACCCAACTGTGTACCCACAAATGAATGTAAATGCGTGATGAATGAAGTGAGCCATCTGCAGTCCCCCCAAAAAAAAAAGCTTAATGATTTTTTTAAATACTTCAAGATATGAAATTTTTAATCTCAACAAACACACGAACGATTTTCAGGTTTCTTCTTCGTTGCCTATATACGTAGAAATTATCATATATAAACCGGAAATAAGGTTACTCATACCATGATGCCTCCTTGACAGAATCTCAGAGAACAACTCAGCGTCGTTACAAAAGAAACGGACAATATATTGATCGAATTGGAAGAGCACCGAAATAGTATTAGGAACTCTTGGTTCCTGAGTAGGTCACTCCATTTTTTGGGCCAGCTGCGTTGCGTATCAGATTGCTATGGCCTCTTTATGCAGTCTCATGCCGCAAATCTACTTTCAGGAAATCTGTAAATAAATTATTGGGTTAATTAATCCGCAAGTCCTTATAGTTTCAACGAATTTTGAATCAGGTCCCTATAATTTTTTTTCTTTTTATTAGATCCTTATACTTTTACCTTTTTTTAATTAGGTCCTTGTATTTATTTTTCTTTTAATTAAGTCCTTATAATTTCATTAAATTTTTAATCAGGTCCATGTAGTT